TGCAGGCGCTTTTGTGCTCAGCCACTCTTTGTTGAATGGGACGACATGTCTCTCCAACATAAAAGCGACAGCACGAACACATGTTTTAGCAACCCGAACTGGATAATGAGTTAACCTCATCTCCCAAAGTGGGCATAACTTGAAGAAAGTGTCGGAGTTTCCCTCAAAACGGTTTTGATTCCCCACTTGCTTACTTGTTCACCTATCCTTTTGAAGGGAATGCACGAAGGCAAAGACAAAACATGAGAAAAGGTCTCCTTATCTCTCCTTACCTATTCACCATTCAAAAAATCTATTATTTATTAATCTTATATTATTCTCAACCAAACCTATAGGATAATTATTCTCAAGTATTATTATTTTAAGCTGATCTAGTTCATTATCGCAATGGTCTCTATCGGCTGGTCTTATGCTCCGAATAATCACAGATTTTAAAACTCTAACATTTATTTTGTAAATATGATTGGAGAAGAAATTAATGATAAAGCCAGCATGCATTGGCTTTCTATAAACATCCCTGCTTAACTTCTTACCTGCTCTGATCACTAAAACATCTAAAAAGGGTAAGTTATTGTTCTTCTCCATCTCCAATGCCAAGTTAACCTGAGAGCAGGGTGAATACGTAAGGAGAGATAAGGATACTTTTCATACTGCATGGAAGACACTTCCCAGACTTGTAAATCCGAGGATAATATATTCAGATAACTTGATGTGAAACTATGCATGGCTAACTGCTATACCTCTGCAGCACGTGTTTTCCTTTGAATCAACAATCCCACGGTTCCCATCCCCCAAGGAGCTGGGAGCACGAGGCGAATCAGAGACTATAGTTTAGCCTAAATGTGCAAAGCTTTTTGCGATTTATGGTGCTGTGGATTTAAATTTTTCTAATTTCATATATTCATCAAAGACGTAACTGGTGCTTGCTCGTGCAAGACCATGAAAAAGATATATATTCAAAAAAATCAGCTTGATGCCTTTGCTTGGACACGGATTACTCAATTCCGTCTGCTACAGTGGGCTATTACACTATCTATTATATTATTTGTTTTTTAATTTGCATTTAAAAAGTTTTATATTAATTTATTGCACCCTTTCTCTCACAATGGAACTTTTTAATTCATTTTCTTTCTTATACTATAAGGCTTTAATTAACACTCTTAATTTTTCACTTTTGCTAGCAAAATTGCTTTGCTTTAAAATCGAACCTAATTATCCTCCATCCTTTCCTTCAACACTATATTTCTTATATAGGCCTAAATCCAATCCTTCTTGCAAACACCAACGTATCATTAAGACTTCTTATTTTCAAATCTTGCATCCTCTTTCGCTTTTATTTTTTATTTTTCACAGATTGGCTCTTCACTTGGTCTAGGCGAGTCGCGTCTTAGTGATCCCGGCGCTGATTTTGAGATCAGTTCAGATAGACCTGGTCTCCGTAAGGTTACATTCCTTGGCCAACTATTCAACAGCGTTCGTGCAACGCCTGACACTGACGAATGGTCTGACACTTCAGGTTCTCACATTTGCGGGGCGTCAGCTTCTTTTCCTATATCGCGACAACAAAGTCCGTCTAGAAATAACTCGATTGTCAGCTTTTCTGCCCTCGGGGTCCCAAATGCTGGAGATTCTGGGGCGACAAAACTTACATCCGCAACAATGAGTTCCTCAGGCTCTTATTTAAACCAGCTAAAAGGCACTTCTTCGCCCGATTCAGGTCTCATAGCACATCAACATCTCTCGAGCCAGAGTACCCAAGATAAAATGGGAGCCCCTGCATCAGTTACCACCTCTACCAAGTCGGTTAGCAATATTGTGTCCGGCAAGCCTCCCATAATTTTAGATCGAGAGCTTCATTCTCAGTCGAAAGGTACTCCTCCAACTCCATACCAGACCAATAAAAGACCTAAAGAGATCTCCTTATCACTTACCAGCTTGATCAATGAATTATTTATGGATGGTAAGCCTTGCTCTTTATTTCCCCTCTCTTATTTCCATCTCTCTCTTTAAACATAATGCGAATCTAGGAGAAATCTTTAGAAAATTCTTAAGAGTAACTCTTCCGAAGCATATATTATGATGAAAATGTTAGTATGGATGTATTAATAAACGAAAATATTTGTGAGATTTATACATCTATGCTCACAAGAAAGCTAATAGGGAAATTTTTTAAATTGAAATATTCAAGACTTAGTATTTAATATGCTAGCTTAATAAATAGAGTAATAAAAACAAGAAGTTGATAAAATAGATTTGAAAGGTATACTATTATTTATGAATGTTTAGTTAACATATGAAGGGATAGACAGATTAATGCATAAACTGCCATAATTATTCCATTTCCATAGATTAGTAAAACGTCTTATTCTCATTCAGTGTTTCATATATTTCATAAAAAGCATCAGCCCTTATGTTTCATGTTCACTTTTGAGCGGGATTTATTGATGATTCAAAAATAAGAATTGCATTACATGTTTATTGCCTCGATTCAACTTGCTAACCAGCGCTTTTCGTTTCTATTAATTTCCCATTAAGCATTAGTCAAGATGGTTTTACACTAGAATTCATGTATACCTTGCATCTTAATGGCTCTATGGAAATATAGTCTTAGAGTACTGCTTTTTCATCTGCACCCGTAAGTCCAGCTTTTGAGTTCAGCTGAGGATACCAGTTATACTCCAGTTAGGGCGAAATCACTGCTTGTCCTTTGTTGCAATGCAATGTTAGTTTTATTATTGATGCTTAATTGGCTGTCATGATTAAGCCTTCCTTCACTTTCTCTATTCCATTACCACTAAGTGAGCACTCAGTATCTGTGTTTAAGAACAGATTTACTGCTTGTCCCTACATAATAACATTTTCTCATGAACATTGGCATATAGCCAATTTTTCAGATACCTGAATCAGTTGTCTCCCTTACCACAATTAAAAATGGTTGCTGTTAAGATAAAGGCCTGTAAAGCTCTACAAATGATCATACTAGCTCTCTATTTCATAACCTAGGCATGTATAACTCTTAATACGCCTAGACTCATATCCCTTAAACGTGTAGTGACTACCATCTACCAATGCCCATTATACCTGAATTAATAATATCACACCTGCATCTATTAGTATGGATTTTTCTCGGTCTGGATGCTTTCTTTCTAG